CGCCCAAGGAGGACCTACAACCGTGGGAGGACCTCATACGACGCAGCCTACCCGCCTGGAAGCGCATCATTCGCATCGGAGTGCATGCATATACACAGTACACGACGCGCAGCACACTTGCAGCCCACATGGAGTCCCGGTTCTTTGATGAAGTACGCCCTGCGGGAGTGCCCCCCCGGGTATACACCGATGAACGTGGACTTATTATACAGCAGCCACCGCCTGCCCCAGCACATAGTATGGACTGCCCTTGGTGTGGGCTGTCTTTTGCACGGCATCGGGCGCTGCGCACGCACGTGGCTCGCGTACATAGGCAACTAACTACACTTGCACGTGGCTATGCCAACCCGTCAGGGGTATGTCAAACATGTCTGCTCAGGCACAACGCACGGCCACATTTAGTGGATCATCTGTCGATCGATTCGCCTCGCTGCTTGCTGGCTGCTGTGCTGACTATGGACAATCCAGCCTACCACCTACAGCTACCTGCCCAACCGATACTACCACGTGGACATACCACCAACGTCCACATCCCTCGTCGCCACGTTGTCGTACCCACAGTTCGGACGCCGGGCCCCATCACCGAGATTGCGTCCAACCTTGCCGCGTTGGTGTCTCAGGAAGATGCCCGCCGAGCCCTCTTGGAAAGTGACCCGTATCTCACTCCAGAGGCGCGTGCCGCACTCCTACCACCACCACGGCCCGCTGTGGCCGAAGGAGATGCCCCTGAGTCAGTCCAACCACCACCGGTTTACCACGAGCGCTACCCGACGCGAATGTTCTTGACCGAGCAGTTTACCGACATTGCTGCTCAGGATTTGCCCATTGCTATCCGACGGTCGGAATATTTCGCGCTTAACCTGCACTGTGGCCGACGACGGCCTGGTGACATCCAGGCCTGCCTCGAATGGACCGAGTATCATACCGACTTCACCATTTCGGTTTTATCCATCGATATAGCGATCGACCCAGTACTAGGTAACATGATGCGACGCGAAACGCTGGAGGCATGGAAGGAGCATATACGAGCCAGGCGAGTTGTCTTGTCAGGCGGCGGGCCACCCTGTGAGACGTGGGCCGCTATCCGTTGGGCCCCTGATGCAGGCCCCCCCCCCTTCGGTCCCACGCTGATTTCTGGGGTTTGCTGGCCGTCACTCCCCGACAAATGGAGCAGTTACGTGTTGGAAATGAACTACTAGGGGCGATGATCGAACTGTTCGCCGTGCACCTCACCGTCGGCACCTCATGCTGGATGGAACATCCTATGCCTGCGCACTGGCGACCCGACTCGGCCAGTTCTTTCTATTGCCCGCCCCTACGGGCTGTTATGGCATCCCCAGCAGCGTCGGTGACCGACTTTGATCAGTGCGAGCACGGTCAGGTTGCACGTGCACCAACAAGAATACTTGCACTGCGCATGGGCACAATGCACGGACGCTTGTGCGAGACACCTGGGCGTGGACGTTGTTCTCATGGACGTGGGGCTCACGAGGTACTCATGGGGTTCGACAGGCGACGTGATGAGTGGCGCACGGCCAAGAAGAAAACCGACCCTCCGGAACTATGTCAAGTTCTCGCAGACAGCATAATGGACGCAGTCAATCATACGCGCGCGACGTGTGCCGAGCATGATTGGCCAGAGGACATGAGGGAGGAGGAGGAAGAGGAGCTCCGTGGGTCGCTTGCAGCTTTTTACGTCTCGTGGGACCCGTACGTCGGTACGGACGAGTCCTGGGCTCCAGATTTTGTGTCGACGCGTGCTAGGCGGACTCGAGCGGATCCCGAGCGGCATCGGTTCCTGCCACCTGAGCCGCAGTCGTCCTCTCAGCCCATGCCTGGAGTTGTCTTTGATCCCGAGGCTGAGGCCCGCCCCCCAGGGCCCATCGAGGCCTCGGACGAGCAGGAATACGCAGACGCTCTAGCGTTCCTCGATGGCACCGTACCCCCTTCAGCCAGGGGACTCCGAGCCACTGTTTGAGCCTACCGCGCCCTCTCTTCCCCCTTCCGCTCCCCCTCAGCCCGTCGAGTTGACTGATGCGATGCGTGCACGTATTGCGGCTAACCGAGCACAGGCTCGAGAGCGACGCCGTCATCGGCTCGCTCAACGCATCGCTCCCTGGACATTCCAGCCTGGTTTCGGAGCAGGTATTTTGGACATGCCCCAGGTTTAACGTCGCTCGCTGCATACCGAGTGGGATGGGTTTAGGTTGATGATGAGGAGGGAGGTGGTTGATTTTGTCAGTGCACCCCGCTGTCCCATTCCCGATTGCCCCTACTCTCCCACCTCGTTGCCAGTACTTGTCGTAGCAGTGCTACCAGACAGCCTGTGGATGATGCTATGGTTCTTGCAAGCTGACGATGGTTTGCCAGTTTCCCATTGTTGGAGGCATTTCCTGGGACACTTCGCCTCCCGTTAACTGAGCTTGCAGATACCATTGCACGGCTTGCCTCTTTGGGCCTGTTGCCGACCGTATCGTGCGTTGGGCTGCCCGTTCGGGCTTGCATATCCCCTTGTGCCTGTGTGTATGTGTTGATCCCTGTCTATTTCACCCATGCTCCAAGATGGCCGCTGCCATTGGCAAACGCCTCCAGGCTCCGAAGACCCAGGACCAGATGCGCCCTCTGGAAGAGGAGTATGCCCATGGGTCAGTCAGTCAATCGCTCTGTCTTGGCGTGAGATGTGACAGGCTTCGGTCTAGTGTCATGAGAGCCTTGCAGGCTTGAGAGGCTGGCGAGGCCGCCGCTGTGGCTCGTGCCGCCCTGGAGGAGTGGAGGATGAGGTTTAGGGGGCTGCGGCGGACGACGGTGAGAGCAGAGAGCAGGGCGCGCGCGCGTGCCCCGCCGCCCCGCCGCCGCACGCCCGCCCCGCCGCCCCCGCCGCCCGGCGCGAGCGAGCGGCGCGGCAGTGTAGCAGCGAGCGCCTCCTCGCCTCTCCCCTCCGTGAGTGCCTCCTCCTCCCCTCCCGCAGTGTAGCAACAGTCAGAGAGAGCGGCGGTCTGCCTCTCTTGCTATCTCGTGCGCACGCCTTTCGGGAGGGGGGGGAGTATGTCAGAGAGGCATGTGCTTGCCTCTCTTGCTTCTTTACGCCGCCTCTCTCTCCACCGTCAACCTGGACAGAGGTGCGCCCCCCGCGCTTCTGTCACCGACCGAATGTCAAGCTTCAAGCCTTGGCCCGTGGGGGGCAGCGGCAGGGGGCTCGGTGAGCGTAGACCGTCGCTAACCACACACCCGTTGCGTGTGGCACCGAACCCCCGAGTGTCCGTCAGTCCGCGCGGCCGCCAGCCAGGCGCTCATGCGGCTGCACGCCGCAGCCCCCGCCTGCCGCCAGCCTTTCTTGCTTTTGCCTTGCAGATAAGGTTTGGAGTCGGGGTTGCAGGATGGTGTTGTCGGGAGGGATGAGAGTGCAGTCCTCGCTCAGCTCAGTCAGTTGGCAGTGGTGCCACTAGAATCCGTCCATAGATCTAGGCATTGCCGAAGATCAGACGAGACCCAGTCGGACGGATCGAATGGGCAGCGCAGCTCGGCATGTTTCCTTCCAGGGAAGAGACTGCAGCGAGTCAGACGCAGCCGCCCTCTCTCCCTATCTTGCCCTCCCTCTCCAACGCTGTGTTCAGAGAGATTCGAGCCCTGGCGGACAGGGAAAGTTGGGAACACCGTGGCAGGACCGCCCCTCTGTTGTTCTGTACGCTCTCTCCTGACCACGGTTGAAAGTCAGCCAAGCTGGCGTTTAATGACTAGTGGAGGTTGGTGGGACTTATAAGGATTGGGAGCTGGGACTTGCACTCGGCGTTAAGGCCGAACTGTGTGCTGAGTTGTACTTTACCTTCGGTGCGAGATTCGAGTTTTAGTACGGACACAGGAGCTGTCTGTGCCAAATGCCTCCAGTCGACGGTGGCCTCGCATTGCCAGTGCCACATTGCTGCCTCGCATCCAATCGCTGGCGCAGTTAATACTATGGGACTGGGTGGGTTTCTGCATTTCTTGGGAGGTGGGATGGAGGTACTGTACTGTACTTGTTCACTTCGTGCCCGTGCAGCCTTTTAAGTCTGCTAGTTGCAGCGCCGCTTTTTCTCTGACCGTCACCAGGCGAATCAGATGCGCAATCTAAAAAAACAAATCTCCTCCTCCTCCTCCTCCTCCTCCTCCTCCTCCTCCTCCTCCTCCTCCTCCTCCTCCTCCTCCTCCTCCTCCTCCTCCTCCTCCTCCTCCTCCTCCTCCTCCTCCTCCTCCTCCTCCTCCTCCTCCTCCTCCTCCCCTCCTCCGCCTCCTCCTCCTCCTCCTCCTCCTCCTCCTCCTCCTCCTCCTCCTCCTCCTCCTCCTCCTCCTCCTCCTCCTCCTCCTCCTCCCTCTCCTCCTCCTCCTCCTCCTCCTCCCCTCCTCCTCCTCCCTCCTCCTCCTCCTCCTCCTCCTCCTCCTCCTCCTCCTCCTCCTCCTCCTCCTCCTCCTCCTCTCCTCCTCCTCCTCCTCCTCCTCCTCCTCCTCCTCCTCCTCCTCCTCCTCCCTCCTCCTCCTCCTCCCCTCCTCCTCCTCCTCCTCCTCCTCCTCCTCCTCCTCCTCCTCCTCCTCCTCCTCCTCTCGTGCGAAAGCTGCGGTGGAGCTCCCCAGGCGAGCGCTGCCTCTTGGGCCTTCGGTGAAGCTCGCCACATGGGGCTACGAAACGCGCGAGGGGGTGCAAAATTGGAGGCGGTGCTGCATGGGGGCGCTGCCACTGGAGCCCTGTGGCCTCAGTGGCGCTCCCTGCGTGGCAGCGAAACGTGCGAGGGCGAACGTGGGGCCGCTGTCACAGTTGGCAGAAGCAGAAGGCGAGGGACACGGAGGAGGAGGGGGGGGGGGGCGCGGGAGGCAGAAGCGGACGCGGCACGCTGCGGATCCCAGGCGAGGACCAGCAACACGGGACGGCTGGGAACTCACCGAAACGCCTGGATGGTCCTTCCCCCTCCTCGTGGGCGGGGGAGGGGGTCAAGAGGATCCCCAGCCCTCCACAGGGCGGGGTGGGGCACTGCATCTCATTCAAGGTCTGCTGGAACCGCTCCTTCTGCAACGCCTTCCTCGGGGAAACAGAGGAGGAAGAGGAGGAGGAGGAGGAGGAGGAGGAAGAGGAAGAGTTTTTGCCCGCGAAGGGTAAAACGTTCAACGTGAACTTTTAACCTGCTGCCTCCTCCCTGGCTGCTATCCGCTGCCTCATCCTCTTCAGTCCTGGAATTAAAGAGCTGCCTGGAAGATCACCATCAGGGCGCTGGAACCACACAGCCCGTTGAGCTGGCTGTTGAGTCCGCAGCAACCGCTGGCACTCCACTTCACTTAAGATATGGAGCACAACACCTGGGGCAGCACGATTGGACTGAGGATGGAGGCCACGGAGCATTCGATTGAGGCAGCACCTGCTGGCAGAGGAAGCAGCGCATCCTCTGCACTGTTTTTTCAAGCTGCCGATTTGTGCTGCACGCGCCTGCAAAACACCACATTCGGACTCGACGAGAGACCTGTGTAGACCAGATCGTGTCCGAGCGTCGGGCGAGCGAGGAACGAGCATTTTTGTCTCTTCCAGGGCAGCCCGACATATCCAAAACAGCCGCGTTCGTATCTGTACGCCGTGCATGCCAATCATGACAGATGAACGAGCCAGGCGTGCCAGGCACGACAGTCCACGCACGCCATACGTGCGCACCTGTGCTCCTCGGGCGTGGGGCCTTCCTCCTCTGGGAAACTGCGAGAACGGGCAGAGGGGGAGGGTGGCTCCCATGACTCGAGCGACAGCGCGGGCTTTAGAAGAAACCTGCTGGGCAGCTGGGAGGTTGTGTTACCGAACGGGGCCCAAACAATCGGACCAAACATTCATCATGTGCCCCAGCTGCCCGGTAAAGAAACTGATAGCTACAATACCCATGTGCTCGGCAGCCTGGGGGATCTGGAAGGCTCGGCCAGACAGGACCTCTGAATCGAGCCACGAACTCCTCCGAGCCAGCCTGCAGAAACACTCCCGCGGACGCTTGGGCAAGCTCACGAATCTGAGGCCTGGTGCACGACTCATCGACGACGACATCAGACGCAGCTTGTGTGACACCGAGTTCACGCAGATCAACATGTAGGAAATCACGAAACACCGTTTCCTACATTTCAAAATGCGAAGATCAGCCAGCGTTGACTCCAAATAGATAGATGGACAGGAGAAGAGCGAGAGAAGGAGAAGACGAGGAGGAGAGGACGGGAAGAGAGGAAGCCAAGCATGAAATGGCAAGCAAAAAGAAGCGAGCAAAACGAAGCGAGCAGCCATGCAAGTACGGAGAGCCATAGGAGTAAGCTTGGGCAAATCAGGGGAGGGGGGGGTGGGAGGTGGAAAATGGTGATGAAGTGGAAAATGGTGACGATAATCGCTGTCGATGGTGATTGTGACGCATCCATAGGAATCCATAGGAATTCTAGCTCAGGATCCAAAGGTCTTCATACGCAGAGAAATTGGCATAGGCGTTGGCATATAAATATTGGCATAGGCATAGGAATACATACGACTCATAGGAATCCCTAGGAATCCATAGGACTCGCCATTGGAGATAGCTGGGGGGGGGGCATTGGAAATAAGAGAGGGGGCCATTGGCAAAGGGGGGGGTCCTAAAGACCAATTACTTATGATGATCTAGGACTCCTATAGGGCAAGCCTACTTGGAGAATGTATCGAACGAAAAACGACACGACACAGCGAGTTGCAGAAAAACACGAACCACGCGTTCCTACAAGTGGTTTGGCCACGGACCACGCCTCCCTAAAATGAAATGTCCTTCATCGCCGTTAGCTAACACACCGTCAGCGCGTCTACGGTGAGGAGCGGGATGGAAAGAGCAACGCGGACGGCCGGGGCGCTCTGGGCGGGAGCGCCGACCGGCATTGGGGGGCATCCAAAGGGCGGGAAGGGGCGGCGCTCGGCGCGGGATCAGGCAGTGCGGCAGCGCCTGGGGATGCGGGGGGCACTCCGACTTGACTCCCCGAGCGCTCCACGTCGGAGAACATCGGCGGCAATCTGAGTCAAGAATGAAAGAACGACCACCGCTACGGACAAGCGTCCAGGCCTACCACTGAAACATCCTAGTAGCAGCAAAGGTGAGGAGGCGGGTCGAGTAGGACGTCGGCTACAGGGAACAAGGATGAGAGCACGACCATGCGCACCTTAGTGCATGTCTATAAGGGAACGCGGCCGTCGAGACAACAAATGTAACCAGCATTGAAGCAAAAACACGATTCCTGAATAAAGCGTAGAGAAATGTCACGCGAAACGGATACCACACAGGGCGGTCTCGGGTTACTCCTCTCCCCTGTGGGACTCTTCTGTGGTTCCTTGTCAAGCACTATGTGAACCACTTAGCGAGACGACATGGCGGCCACGGCGACTATAGCTGGCCGACATGCCCTGAGAAAAAAAAGATGCAGCCAGGACAAGAGTTAGAGCACGGTCATGTGAACCCTGGTGTATGATTATAAAAGGCTCTGGCAATCCGGACCAAAGAGAACACTATTCCTGAATAACGCGTCAGAGACTCTCAAGCGAAGCGGCTGCCGAGGCCAGGTGGTCTCGGGCTTCTGGCAACACGGAGAGCCAGAACTGCGGCAGGGTGTGATCGCTTGTGCCACAAATCGCAGGCAAAAATGCAACCCCGGCAACACGTAGAACATGAAGAACACCCTAGTATGAAGGGGCTCTGGGACACACAAATACATAGACACGAATTAAAGGATCCACACATGTTCCTATAGTTTCTGGGTTTTTGTCTTCCCCCCCATTTCCCATGTTTTCGCATATTTTCCAGGGAATCGACGATGAATTGTGTCTGTGTGCGGTGTTTCCCTCCTGATAGTATATCGTTCACGCAGGAGCGCGGCCGCCCGGACCAAACATGCAGCCAGCCTTGAAGCGAGAGCACGGCTCCTGAATCCGCCACCGTGCCCTGGCACGAAGTGGAGTGCCCCAGGCTTACAGCTGCGCTGCTGCTGCAGCCAGGATTCGAAACTCTAGGCGAAAGAGGAGTCAGGGAGGGAAGGAGGAATCAGGGAGGGAGTAACGCACGGCGACGAGGGAATGAGGAGGACGACACGGAAGAGGCGCAGAGGAGGGGGCGCGCGTCCTTGGCGCGATCTTCGTGTAGTACTTTGCCGGGAGATCCCGCGTGCGGTACACGGTGTCCGCGGTAACATCCTGGGCATTTCGTGCCTCCCTCCCCCTCTCACTCGCTGTCCGTCCCATGTTCTTTGCTGCTGCTCTGCCGTGCCACTAAATTAAGGGCCCCGAACCAGCTACCACACAAAAACGAATGCGCGTGGGGACTCTGCCGAACCCGCTCTCGTTGTCGAGCACTTTTTCCTCCTGCCCTGACTGCTAGCCCTGACACGACCACCCGCCATATGGCGTGCCCAATATAGCACACCTTTGGCGCCCTAGTGTATATGTGACCCGTGGGCCGCACAAGTCCTGCCCTGGGCAACTTCCAGATGGGGCCCGATAGCGGCCCCTGGAAGCCAAAGGACAACCGTCGGGACTTCTCCACACAACATGCCTCGCTAAGGGTACCGTTTACCTGCCGTGCCTCCCGCACTGATGCCCAGCGAACGCGACCGAAATGCGGCCACGGAGTCGGGCGAATAAGACACGTCGGAAACAGAGAAGGGGTGGAGGAGATTTTGGGCGACGAGGAGCAAACAAACAAACGGCTGGAAACTAAACGTTGCACGCCTGGACACGATCATAAACTTACAATCCAAACGCCCCGAAAACAAGGGGGCCGGAGGCATGGGCTGCATAGGCATGGGCCGAAACAATGTTTCACACACCGCAACTGGTAAGCAAATCCTTCCTTAGCCGTGACCCCCAAACTGCTCAATCTCACACAAGGGCCACGAGGAAACCACTGTTAAGAAAGAGAGCATACCTCCCGCAACAGGAGCAGAAACAACACGAGCCCTTAACCCACACGCGACGGGAAGGGGCGACTGCAGAGGATGTCCAGGGCTGCTCCGGAGTACTTCGCCGAACAGCATCATCTGTTTGAACAGAAGCTGCACGCTGGCTGGCGCGCGTCATTCGCAAGCAATACTCAAGAAATGAATGAAGGTTTTACGCCCATGATTTGTCGTACGCAACTGTTAGGGAATCCATTCGAACGCTGGATTGGAGCGTCCGCGAGGCGCGCCCAGAGAGGACACAAAGCACCTTCGATTCCACCACAGAACTGAAGATACGGAGCTTTCTTATCCAAGTAAGAAACGAATGCGACCACACATTCTTCAGCACGTTAAAAATGGCTCCGCCTCTCCGACGTTTATGTTCAGCCCGTGTGCCAAGCCAGCGTCTGGCGCAAGGTGGGCTCCAAGATGCTGCATGCACGTTGCATGCGGTACTAAATCTCCCTCTGGCGCACAAACAACACCAGGCGATTGCACGGCCAATGCCTGAAATTTGTTCTAGTGCAGAACCACGCCGCACATGCGGCCAGCCGCCGCGACTGCCGCCAAAAACTTGTTCAGGAAACCATCATTGCATCCAATCAGCAGCGCGTGGTCTGCGCACGCGAAGTGAGCAAGCTCTCCGCTGTCGCGCGCCTGCTTCGCGGGCCCCCCAGCATCTCCACCGCGCATGGCAGGAAAATTGTCATTGCCAAGACAAATCAAAGCGGGCTGAAAATGCAACCCTGCGATGTTCCAGATCTCGGCGGACGCGGCGTCGACCGGGCCCCGCGCCCCTCGACGGCGAACTGCCTCTGCCGAATCAGCTCGCCAGCCATGTCGCTGAAAGCAGGTGGGACACTGAGCCGCTGGAGGGCATCGAGCACGCTCCCAATTCGGATGCTGTCAAACGCTTTCCTCCAATCTAGCGCCACAAAGGTCGCGCCTCCTCGCTTTCGCGCCCGCGCTAGTTCAATCTGTCGTCTCGCGATGTATATGGCACGCTCTGCGCTGCAACCACGGCAAATCCGAACTGCGATTTCGATAATCTGCCCTCCACGCTGGCCCCCACAAGTCACCCCTTGAGCATCGTCGAAAAGACCTTCAAAGCCACGCGCCGCAGAGACAGGGGGCCGCAATATCACAAGCGGCGGGGCCCCCGCTCTTGAACAACAGCCGCGCGTCTCTAGTGCCCCACTCTTCGGGCGGCGTCTTTTGCTCGTGCACGTCTCGACACAAATCGAGTAACCAGTGTAATTGCCCTGCCGCATCTGCCATGGCTAGGAAAACCTCGACTGGCGCATCTTCTGGTTTGCTCGCCTTTCCCCTGTGTGGTTCCTCACAGTCCTCCGGGGCCCCGCATCGGCGAATGGCCCGGCGTTCGCGCCCAGGGGCGGGCGCAAATCCACATCTGGGGCGAGCGAGAATGGGCGGAAATTCAATTGCATCGAATAGAAATGCTGCGCAAATGTCTCGGCGGTGCAATCCGTTAATACGAGTTCCCCAATGCTGCCCCGGAGCCGCCCTCGCGGGCGCGGTCTAGGCTTGACAAATCTCTAGATGATCGCCCAGTCCCTTTTCGCTATTAAAAAATTCTCGACCCAAGCCACGCGATCACGTTTCGCGAAAATATTGACTGACTTTCGCATCCTCCGCGCCGCCACCCAGCGCCCCCTATCTGGAGCGGCCATCTTCTGATCAAGAAACGCGAGAGTACGCGCAGAAATCCAAGGCTAATCGGGCGTTCGGAGGGAGCAGGCACGACGCCGCCCACCGCCTGCACGGCCGCCCACGCCGACGACCGCCGGCGCAGCGGTGGGGCTGTTCTTTTTCGCACTCCGCATCCTTGGGCCCCGATCTCTCGCACAAGAGCGCGTCGCATCACCGCGGGGTCGAGCACTGACCATTCCCCCACGCCGACATCCGCTGGGGACCGCCACCAGGCGCATCAAGAACGAGCCCAACCATCGCAAGAAATTGGTCAGAAGCCAGAATCGCTCTCGCGTGGCTCCTCACGTCTTGGAGGTCATGTTCGCGGACGGCCGGAGTGAGAAGCAGGCCAAGGGTGTCGAAGCCAGGGTCAGACACGGGGCTGCCAGGCGACGCGCCGGGCTCATGGCACGTGGCCTTCTACTCTGGCGCCGTGGGTGCGAGCGCATTGGCAACCGAGTTCCAGCCCGCTGCAGAACTCCATCAAGAGGTCGCGATTGGGGGGCTCCACCACATAGCGGCTGCCCTCCAAAACCACTGCCCACATGAGACGCCATCTCCCCCGGCACGCCGTCGCCCCAATCGCGCACTCCAATCTCCAGGAAACGCCGGGCACCAGAAACTCTTCCTGCGCGCGAGTTGCAACACGTCGCTAAAATATAGATTAGCATCAACGGGTTTTTCGTTACGCAGGGCATGAACAATGCAGAGCTTTACCTTCCCCGTCAGGCAACGCGGGCGTCGAGCTGCCAATAACCGAGGACACGCGGGACGAAGCCCGCGCGATAGCCGACCCAAGACGTCCCCTCAGAATCCCGCGGTGCCGGACAAGATCACGAAAAGCCCGTTCTCCGCATAGTAATGGTCAGGATTGCGCTTGCGATTCTCCTGCAAACATATCAGATCGACTGAATGCAAGCACGCGCGCCTACAAAACTCATGAATATTCACGTTTGCGCACCCTTCTGCGCCCCAAGATCCCACGTGCACAAAAATTGGTCGGTCCACGCGCCGCCCTGGCCCCTAATCGAGACCAGGGCCTTTGCCTGGCCCTTGCACTCGACGAGGGCCTTCGCCGTGTCCAACACGCTCCGGGTCGTATCCACGATGTCGGAAAGTTCCGGCGATGTCCGGAGCGCCTGCCAATCCCTCCACTCTTTGTCTGTCCGCTTGAGCACGAGTCCCTAGTCCTTCACCGTCGCGGTCGCCACCTTGGCCCCTGCAGCGTGGATCGCCGCGTCGCCCGCCCCCGCCTTGACGCAGGCTTCTGGACGAGCACGCGCCGCATCCGAGATAGAACGCTCTGCTGCACGCGGGCCTGCCGCGCCGTCTCCTGATCGTCGTGCGCCTGCGCGCACTTCTCAACAACCTCGAGAAAAGCCCGACGACTGGCATCGCTCGCGAACTTGATGAAGAAGACCCCTCCCTGGCAATACATGTCCTGAGCGTCGGGGGAGGAGACGCCTGGTCACGGCATACATTGGCAGCCCACTCCACCGCTAAATCAAAGGAGTCGGCGTTGGGGACGCCCTCGACAACAGCTGTCAATGTGGATGCGACAACCGTTGACCTCGCCGCGCGTGGGGCTGAACACTGGGACAGCGTCTCATCGATCATCTTCTGCACCTCGTGATTGGTCATCTCGGCCTTCTGATGCTTCGATCATGCTCTGCGCAGTGTCCTCGGTGACCATCCTCTCCTGCGCCTCCACCGCCTTCGCGCCCGTCTTTTCTGCAGTGTCCACGCCCTGCTGCGCTTTGGCCTCGCCACCCCCATACCCCCCCCCCTCCCTGCGCCCAATCAGTTCCCTCATCTTCGCCATCATGGACTTCATGTCTGATTCATACAGGGCAGTTTCTAGCACATGGGATTTTTAAAGATATAGGATCTTTACTACATGATTAATGTATGAATCAATGTATGCATGAACTCATCGTTGTTTTTAATACTAAATCCTTGCATTTGTAATACATGATCCGCACGCGGAGCATGTATTAAAAACGGCACTGTAGTTTTTGACCTGTCAAGCCCCCATCCCCGACTTTTCAACGCCGTTCGCAGCGCCGCCGTCCATCTGATCGAACGGGGAGTCGCAGCGAGCTTGCATACTCTCGCCACCGATCGGGACTCCCATGTCGCATCGTTTCGCCGCTATCCTGGTGACCTATAGAAAAATCACAAGGTTGGGCACGCGGATCGCGCGACTGGAGACATCGACATTGAACCAAAATCGCTCAAGCCCAACTCAGAACATCGCCACTGGGGCATTCGGCGAAGCCCCCTGTGGGGCCACGAAACGCTGCACTGGGCGACTAAACGCACGCGAACAATACCACTAGGACCTTCGGTGGAGCCCCCACATGGCGCCACGAGACGCTGTATTATGCGGGGGCGACGCATGCGAACGCCGCCACTGGAGCCTGCGGTGGAAATCCCGATGGAGCCACGAATCGCTGCACTGCGCGGGGGCGACGCATGCGAACACCGCCACTGAGGCCTTCGGTGGAGCCACCCAAGGGGCCACTAAACGCTGCGCTGGGCGGGGGA